TGGAAAGAAAAGTGGAGGGTTTATTTTTTTGGAGAACTTGACAAGGAGGTGGGTACAGCCAGGGAAGGTGGTGGCTAATGGTGAAGTGTAGTGGGAGTATTATTAACTGGAAGCACAAGGGTGAAATTATAGGCTTTTTTATGTAAAGTGAGATAAGAATAAATATCAGCTTGGGTGAAGGAATGTGAGAACATGGTCCGAGTTTGGATGGGTGATGCTTAGGCAGAGGTGAATTGTGTAGGTTATAGGCTTGGGAGGGAGTGAATTTCAACAGTCTAGCTACAGAGGGAATCCATGCACAACTCCAAGTAAAGAGGTTTTTAGATAGTTTCTGTTCAAGGCGAGGATTGCTGCCTCCTTCAGTCCCTCTGCTCTGGACTTCTTACCTCATATCTCCCTGCTTAACTGTCCTCTCATAGCCTTTTTTTTTTTCTTCTTCTTGTCTGAAATATTGCAGCTGTAGCAATGATGCTGGACAGGAAGGAGGCAGCTATATGTAGCCTTCTCTATATATGGTTCATCAGTGCTACTCATGCTGGATCTTTTCTTTCCAAGCATCCCATTTTCTTCCTTTGCAGGACCTTGTTTTGCTGCTATACAGTGGTAAAGCAAGTTGTGGAAAAGGAGAGTAAGACAAACAAAGGTCCAGTATTAGTCGCAGTAGGTTTCTACTGTGTGAAATAAAGGGGAGGAACAAGAAAAACCAGTAGCATCAGGTCAGGTATGCTGTAGCAAAAAATATTTGAAGAAACTCAATTGCAAATATGTATTAGATAATTATGTAACAATTTAGATCTACAAAGTCAACACTGTTTTCATTATCATGGCATCTCCATTGGCAGCAGAAGGCAGTCACCTTTAATTCATAGGTGGAGAATTGAAATATAGAGAAAACAGGACTGACCAAGATGACAAATGATTGGATCTCCCAAGTCCAAGGACAGCATCTGAATTGCTGACCCATATTTGGTGTGAATGGACTGAACAATATCCTATTTTGCTAATGTTGGGTTGGATAGCCTTGGCCAACTGATCTGTTCTGGGATTGTTAGTTGGGGTTTTTTGTGTTTGTTTGGGTTTTTTTCCTCGAAGTGTTTGTTACTACATTGCATTAGAATAACAACCCTGTCATCCAAAGAGTTAGTCTGTTACCTTACCAAAAAGCGTGTTACTCTTTTCCTGTGGGAGCTTGGCTGATACAAATTTGGTTGTTTACTACTGCACTCTTTTAGGCATACAAGTGGTATGAACTTGGATACCAAAGAGGTCACTTTGCATCAGTTTGGCAGCGCTCTCTCTACAATGTCAAGGGACTGAAAGCTCAACCATGGTGGACAGCAAGGGAAACTGGTTATACAGAACTGGTGAAGGTAAGGCAGTTTGTTTCTATATACTTTGATTTTATTTTTTTTTAATGACAGCTATAATCTAAGGTATTAAGCAGAGAAAACTTTAATCTATGAAGTCTGAATCATTGCCTGTGAATACTAGACACCAATCTTAGACTGAGCACAAGATTTAACTAAGATACTATAAAATGAGCTCAGGCATTTTCAAAATTGAGAATGGGGGCAGGATGGCTGAAAATGATTAATAATACAAAGTTTCCATGGTAGACAACTGTAATGTCTCAAGTTTAGAATGACAGCAAACTTTGCTAATGTCCAGACACCCATTGTGAATTTTTAATTAGCCGGGAAAGGCTGTGTCTTTCATCATTTTTATAATGTTTGGTGACTTCTTTGGAAGCTTTTAATTGCATAAGAGAAACAAGTGTAGACTCCCAGTGATGGGTTTAGCAAAATATAACAACATAGAATTTAAGTTCTTTGAAGCTGGGTTTTTTTTAGTTAATGCAAGACAAGTAATCTGGTTATTATTCATAATAATAGTTTCTGTTTCCAAAATAGTATATTTTTTCTTATTTTATTTTAATTTTCATAATAATTCCTTAAAAAATTAAAAGGGGGTAAGAACCTTTTTTACTCAATGTTTTAATTATTTGTATGTGGTTTAGCAAAATTATTCTGCACAAATAATTTAAAAACTTAAATGTTTATTTTCAAGAGACAGGTTCCTTCAGAGTAGCTATTTCATTATAGTTAGTTATGTAACATGTTAAAAAACCTACTATGAAAGGATGATTTTATTTTAAAAAAAGTAAATAAATTTAAAAATTAGGATTACTCCTTGTTATGCTTTTGATGGCAGCATAAATAAGGCTAGGAAATTTAGATTAAAGTGTTATTCTCCAGTGTAACCTCAGACACATAAAAAAAGCAATTAGCTTTATGGACTAGCATTTGGGAAGATTTGAAATGTGCACGTATTGAACTAATTCTTGAAAAATGTGTAGGAATAGATACTCCCTGCCATAAAAAAAATGGAGAAACTGGGATCTTTTTATTACGCTTGTGCCAAACAAAAAAGAAAGAGTATATATTATTTTGTTGATGTTTTAGAGCTATCTGTGGTGATGTTCTACAGTCTCTTACATGTAACCATTCAAATTCCTGAGTCACAGAAGGTAATGGTCCCTTCACCCTTGGCGTGAGGAGACAAGTCAGCTTTGAATGATGAAAGAATTCAGTTTCCTGTTATAAAATGTCCAGGGTTCCACCTTGAAGGGACTTTTTCAGATATATCAGACCATATATGGAGGTCTTGGTTTGGATCAGCATCCTGCATGGCTCCTAGAAGAGCTATTCAGAAGACCAAAAAGGACAGAAATTTACCCCTGACCTCCACAGCACATCTGCATCTCTGAAATCCACTCATACCTCTTCAATCCAATAATTTTGTGGTGTATTTTTAGCTGTTTTATTACCAATATGTCATTGAATCTGGACTAAATTTTGGCTGCTAATTTATTTACTTAGGTATCATAATTTGGGGGTAAGATTATGTTCTTCAAGAGAACATTCACAGTTGAAAATATAAACCCAAAATATAAGTTAAAGGCATCAGGAAAAATGTTTGTATTGTGGTGTTTCACCTATAACTCAAGAAAGTGCTTGAAGTTTTGAAAGAAAGCAGACTTGATTCTAATAACATAAGATGCTGCAAGCAAAAGTATTCTCCAGAAAGTGGCAAAAAAATAATTGAAGATATTGTTTTTATTCATTTATGAAGTATTCCAACTTCTGTACATGTTAAAAAAAATCCCATTATTTCCCCATTCCACAGAGCAAAAACCAATCAGCAGTTTGATGACTTCATCTTGTTACATTCCTTTTACATCTGTATGGGATGTGTGGGAGATGCTACCAAATCCCTATGAGAGAATTTGACGTGGAAAACTGCAAAGCACTGGAGGCCCTCACCCTCTCTCCCTGTATTTCATTGCTTGTTGTTAAATGTGAACAAGCTATTTTCAGTATCTTGGCAGCTTAACAATGTTAACTGAGGATTTATTTGTGGCTAAATGAGACAGACTGGCAGCTCTTTGTGGTTCATTCTAGTAATCAACACAGCTGTGGTCAGTAACATCTTATAGCACAGACCTCATTTGATTTTGTTAAAGGGTCATGTGGTTTCTTGGGACTGGAGGTGGGGATGTAAATTTTGATAGTGCCTTGCTTTTTCCACGGAAATCCTGAAGAAAAGATTGTCTTTTTTTGGTATTCCTGGTTTAATAAACACCCCTTCTGAGGGGCGTTCAGCTCACCTACCTGTAGCCATACGGACACGAGGCATATTGTCCATGCTAGTGGTCTAGTTCACAGGTCAAAAAAAAGAGCTATTTCCAGAGGACGATTAATTTTTGCTATGTTAAATGACTATCTAAGGATGGCATGTCTCCATTTCTAGTGTTAACTTTCCTACTGTTTTATTAAAAAAAAGAAGCCTAGACAACTAAATTAGGCCTGATGTTTAACTGCCTGATAAGTAAGATAAAAACCAAAACAATCTCATACTTTTTTTACTTCACTGTTACCTACTTGCCTGGGTATTTTAAGGAAGAAAGGATTTTTAGTTTCTTTAATTAAAACAAACAAACAAAAAAAACCCAAACCTGAGAATACCTCAGTAAAACTCAACAGGACATATACTATGGTGGTAAATTCTGGTTAGTGCTATTGTGATGAAGGGAAGTGGATCTTTCCATCTCTTTAGCTGCTGCATGTTAATGCTTAAATTTTTTGTAGTTTCCTTGAAAGAATAGGAAGGGGCACTTGATTTCTCAGGGAGCAGATAATCTAAACTTTTAAATTAGGAAGACTATATCAAGTGATTTATGTAGAAATGTTCTGTTAATATTTCTGATCTGTAGTGTTTCAGGCCTTTGGATTTGGAGATTCAAGAAGCTTTCATTCTTGTTTGAGCTCAGCTAAAAGGAAACATTACTTTTATCATTGAAAACCTGTCTTCTCCCTTGGGGCAATTAGCTGTCCATGGACAATCTTACTGAGTCATTGTGTCAGTCTCTGATACCTTTTGTAGAACCACAGTATAGCATTATTTTTCTATCCTGGTGCTTGTTTTAAAAAAAAAATAAAATAAAAGAAGTACAATGCTATTGGATCCTAGAGACTTTTGACCAGCCTGAAACTAATACATAGGTAATGACCTTGGTAACTTTGTCCTTTCTTCATGTTGTGTCCATTAACTTTTGGAAAGGGCAGAGGATACTTTGCCAATAATGTACTACATTGAATAGCTGATTGATTAAAGTAGATCTTGTATTGTCAGTTTTCTCTGATGGCTTAGATTTTATTAATTACAAGTTTAAAGTGCAGCAAGCAAAGCACAGGAAGACAATGAGAGTACTGACAACAGCACATATCCATAGTGTTTTCTGTAGAGCGACAGCTAGGGCTTAATGGTTTAGCTAATAATAGCTAAGCATTCATATTTAATGGAGAAAATAAATTGAAATATGCATTTTAAAGTGTGGATGGATGCTTTAAGGGAAGCCTTGTGTTGAAAAAAAAACAGAGATGATGCATATACATGCATCTGAGTGACCAAATGGGTGCAAGGAATCTATTTTGAAAGGTCTAAAATATTGCCCCTTACTTGGAGGTCATCAGCAATTCCCAGCAGACACATGGTAACTGATCATGAATGCTCTTCTAATCTGTTTCAGTAACGATGTGAAACAGATTGAAGTCTTCACCATGATTTTATTTTATAGTCCAATGGATTAAAATGAACGTATGGTCAGTAGTTATGCCTCACATGAGGGGTAGTAACTTCTTAATCTCTGCCTATGTCATTTATGACCATGCATTTGAAAGGGTTTGACAGCACAGAGTAAGGATTCTTTTGATATACTAGCCATGCATAAAAATAAACTGATATTAAGAAATACCTGTTTAAATATAGTAAAGTCTTTGCCAATAAAATCTACACTATTGCCAGATGTAAAGCAACTGTAAACTTCCATTATTGTTAGGAACTGTATTTAAAAAGCCATATGGTGGTTTATGGGAATCAGCTGCTAGGAAACAAGTACATATGCTTCCAATGCTGTTTGCCAACTGATTCTTCACTTGAAATTAAGATAATGCACCAGATAGAATATGAATTGATTGCTCTAACCTGAGGCTTAAATCCCTACATATTGTGGAGAATAAGCATATTTAACTTTTTTCTGTAGATACCAGCTCTTGGATCAAGGGCTTTAAGTCCACATCCTGGACTTAGTCATTATGTTTTAATGGTGTTATGTGTTCTTACCATTCTAGGTATGCCTAAGAGTCTGTAAAATCAAGGAGATCAAGGCTGAGCTGTCTTTGAACTCTTTTAACTCTCCGCTTTCTACTTAGGAGTTGCCTATTGCTCATAGTAAAGCACTGTCAGTGTCTTTTGTAGATGGAGTCCAGGTTTTCAGCAGTACAGAGATACTATTGATTTCAGTCTAAAACCATTGAGGAGCTAGTTCAAATCAATTGTATGTATTCAGATCACTTCATATCCAACATGTTAGGGAAGGAGTCTTAAAAGGTAGGACAAATACACACCTTTGGAAGTTCACTTTCAGCCCATGGCACTGGTGAAGGCTTAGAGCAAACAGCTCTAACAAAGCAACTGTTGCCTGCAACTCCTTGGACCACTAGTGTTCTTCATGCATCATCTTGCCTGTGTGGGTGAATCATAGAATGGTATGTGTCGGAAGGTATCATCTAGTTCATACCCCTCTGCCATCAGCAGGGACACCTTCCTCTAGACCAGGTTGCTCAAAGCCTCATCCAGCCTGGCCTTGAACACTTCCAGGGAGGGGACATCCACAGCTTCTCTGGGCAACCTGTTCCAGTGTCTGAACACCCTCACAGTGAAGAATTTCTTCCTAATATCTAATCTAAACCTCCCCTCTTCCAGTTTAAAGCCATTACCCCTCATCCTATCCTTACCTTTTTTTACAAGAGGGAGAAGGACTTTTAAAGTTTTCCAGGTTTGTTGATCTGTATCACTTTGAGGCCTGTATAAATGTAAGTTACTCTTTTCTTTCTCTTGTCCAGCCAGCGCAAAATCAGGTACTCGAGCTGGTATTTCTTTTTGTAGATATGTAGCACTAAATCAGTACCAGCACTGTTCACATATTCATCTCTAATCAGGTAGAAATTTTCAGTCTTGTTTTGTACCCTGCATTTTGAAAAAGTAAATTTTCCAAAGATATTCTAAGAAACATTTCTACTTAGTGTTAACTGTTAAATGAGTATTATGGAAACCCGTCAGTGGGAGAGAATAAGGTGAATGCACCAGGAAAAATGTAAGTGCTCTTCCCATTTAGAGATGGATTAGAGAGAAAATTTGCTAGGAATAAGAAAATACTGTAATACAGAAGTGCAATCCTCATTTTCATAGGTCTTAGCCTACCTAAAAATGTTCTAGTGGGAGAAAGTTGTTGTATTATAGACAGCATGTTCTAGCCATGGCTTGCTGAGCTTTTTCTGATATATCAACATACAGCCTATTTTGTGTGATCAGCTTGTCTTTTAATTGAAAAAACTGAAGTGGAAAAGGTAACTGTTTAATTTAAATGGAGAAGGCTAGTAACCATGGGGAGTTTTAAGGCTAAAAAGGGGCAGTTTTATCACTCAATCTCACAGATTTCTGAGTTTTACTCAACTTTGTACATCATATAAAGAGGTAGTGTGGGAATATACTTTAGCTTATTTTCAGTATGAAATTGATTGAAAATGCCTTACAAAAGTGCTTTTTTCAAGAGCACAAAGGAAAAATGAAAACTATTCACCCAAAATAAGATTTAGCAAGTAAAGTAAGCAGCTGGGAAATGGAAGTCACTTTTATCCAGTTCCATTGTTATGCTGTGGATTTTTCATTTGTATTGCTATAGCATTAAAATTACTTATTGGTAGAATAAAGGGTGTTATGATCTATCTGATTTTTACAAATATAATGTCCTAATGCAGCAGAGAACAAAATTTTTAAGTCTATAATCTTGTGGTTTTGGTATGCACAAAGTACAAGCAGTGTATGCATTTTTAATGGTTGTGACCATAAATCATCACCTGGTACTTCAAGTCATATTTGATCTTTTTCAATAGCATCAGCATGTACAAAGTCAATCTTTGCAAACCTCTTTGAAGGTTTAAATCATAACTGTCAACTTAAGTAGCCTGTTTACATTTGTACTCTTCGAACTATGATGTTCTGCCAATGCTTGGAGTTCCAAGTTATGTGCATGGTTTTCCAGTCACAGGAGTGCTTCCAGGTAACATGTGCTGTCTCCAAGAAGATCAGTACTCTTCCTAGCTTGCCATACAAAATGATCTGTTAAAGAGCCCTTAGGTTAATTGAAAAGCAACTCAGTGAGGCCTAGTCTACAAAGAAACTGGGGATTATTGAAATTTTATATCCCAATGTAATTGAATCTGAAGAATGCTGTGACAGTTGTTTTTCCTGCCTTAACGTGCCAGAAGGGAACTAAATATAAAGAAACTTGATAATGATGATGAACACTTTTTTTAGTGCTTTTAGATTAAAAAAAAGTTTATAATGGCAGGGGAAAATAAAAACAGTAGTAAAGCCAAACACAGTTAATTCTTAGTGCAGTAACATGGCTCTCTAAACAGTCCTTAGAAAAAAATTGGAAGCTCATTCGGGATGAGGGGCTTGCTGTGATGGATAAAAAAAGAAGCCTCTTCCTGCCTGAAGATGAGAATCTACGTGAAAAAGGAGACTGGAGCCAGTTTACCTTATGGCAACAAGGTAAAACATTTTATATTTCTTCTCTTTCCCCAATTTCACCTTCTCAGATTAATATGGTGTAATAAGGAGTAGCAACACAGTTTTTTTCCAAAACCATTTTTGTAATCACTGAATCTGCAGAAGAAAGGAGCTAATACAATAGTGTCTGAAACCCCTGTGACAATGAACAATAGTTCTTTTTTTCTAAACCGTGTTGTCCTCAAGCCCTTTTGAGAATCTTCAGGGCTCCCTTGAGGGCAATTGCCCTTGTTTTTGCCCTTGCCCTTCTGGCAAGGGTGCCAACATTTTGCATGGTAATGCATAGTACAGTTAAGCCTGAGGGAGGATGGGAAGTGGGAGAAGATGCATGCTCAATATTGTGTTGTCAGCTAGGTAAGACCTGTCATTCAGAAATGGTATGAGCAAAAGAATATGACTTTAATAATCCTGCTGTGTCCCTGAGCTGAGGCCCAACTATTAGAATGACCTTAAATTCTTATAAGACTCTGCATACGAAAGAATACTGGAAAATAAAATATTAAAAACAACTTATATTAAAATATAATCTGGTGTTGAATTCCTGTGATGTTGGTGGCATTTTTCATCTCTTTTTCTATGCAGCCTCATTAATGATTATACTTTTAGAATCATGTTTAAAAATGGTAGAAAGTCTGGTCTTCACAAATAATTTAAAAGCAAAGATGTGCAGGCTGCGCTGATATTACAACATGTAAGTACTTCTGTTTCACAGTCTGTAAAATGGGAATAATAATAATAATATTTACCTGACTTTCAGTGTCATCTCGGCAGCTTTGTTGCTCTTCTGCAAAGCAGAAAACAAGGAAATGCTCGTTCATTGCTCTTACTAATGCTCTATCCGTTATTTTCATTAGGAAGAAAAAATGAGAATGCTTGTAAAAGTGTTCCAAAAACATGTGCATTATTGGAAAGATTCCCAGAAGCTACTGGCTGCAGAAGAGGGCAGGTACCTGGCAAATTTTGTCATTTTTGCAAATTCCTAATGTTGGGAACAGATGATTTTGAGGAACATATATAGGGGGATGTATGACCTTGGAATATTCGATGATGCCTCAAGCACAGAATGAAGTTAATAGTGTAAGTACTGCTGTCACATGCTGCTTTCCTAAAGGTAAAGGAAGGTGTGACCTTGGGTGCCAACAAAGTTTGTTTCAGGTATCTCATCTATACTGACTCCTCAGCTACAAATTAACATAATTAAATCATGTAGTAGACTTACATGGTATGGATCAATACATATGCAGCTGAATGAATGGCCCAACACAGAAGTCATGTGATTCTTTAGGACAGAATTCTTCATTCTTCCTTTTTTTTTTCAAGTTATTATATTTTATCTGTAAGGACTACATGAGAAGAACCTTCACGCAGCAAAATTAAGGATCCAAAAGTTGGAAAACACAGTGCTAGCATAATCCCAATTCAGAGCCTTGAGAGGAGGTGTTCAGCTTTTTCAACAGACTCTTGCTTTTGATGTGCAGAAGTTTACTACATGACTACTGTTGTGGGAATGAACAAGGCTATTATTTCATTGATTTGTTGCAAAGACTGGTTGTAGTCAATATAACTGATGAAAGAGGTCATCACGCTCAGTGTGGCTAAGAGCAAGAAAACTGCTTTCTGTGGCATCCATGGCCAAAATGGATCTATCCCAGGGAGCAAATTCTCTTTGAGAGCTACTATTTTGTTCATCATTTTTTGGCACCCTACATGATACAACCAAGATATGGTTTGTGGAAACATTGTGTATTCACAGCTGTAGTCATGTGTTTTGAACATAATAAATATAAAATAATCTGAAAGATTATGTTCCAGAAGTCATAAGTTTTACATCCAATATTAGATGATGCTTAGGACAATTTTGGTCTTGTGCTAGCCATGCCTGAGATTCTTACTGGTAAATTAAATTTAAAATATCACCTAATCTCTATTCAAATACTGAAACACTTCAAAGCAATAGGAACAAACACAATCAGGAAATTAGGAATTCTGTTGTAGATAGACCTTTTGGATGCTTTGGGCGCCTTGTGTATTGACAAAGATAAAAGAAATGTAAAATAATAAACTACCTGTTCAGTGCTGCTGAGAGACTGTGTAGAACAGTAGCAAGTGATTATATTATTAAAAATTATATCATTCTTCTTAAAAATAGCAGTAAACTAAAAGTAGCACAGGTAATTCTGGGCATTTCTTAACTCTTGGGAGTTCTACATTACAATCATAGTATAAGTCACTGGTAGTTCAGGACTATTTATATATAGTACTTGAGTACAGCACATTCATATAATTCAGAGACATATCTAGACTGATCTGCATGGACTGATGACATACACAACGCTAATCATTCCCCAGTGCTGGTATCTTAACGTTAAAAAAAATGTTTCTCTGAGATGTTAGTAACTATCCTGCATAGCCAGTTATTTGCATTGCATTAGGGTCTGACAGGGCAATCATGTTAATGCATCTTGATGTAGCAGAGGTGGTGGGTTGGAGCATCTGTGTTCACCATGGCCACTGGAGCTTATCACTTGCTGTCATAAGAAACTGCTGGTAAGGTGAAACCTCAGATGCTGGGGACAGTTAAGGCATTAGACGCACACAGTCTTCTGCTGATTTTATAGTTGGAGAGCAAGCAATACCTTAAACCCTAAGTAAGATTTGTCAAAGTTACTATATCCCAGCCTGATGCGCAGATTTCTCAGTTCAAAAGATACTTCGCACACCTGTCATGTGTTATTCACACTTCCTGTTCATTGCATTGCTGTAGAATCACAGAAGGTGGAAGAGACCTCTGGAGATTACCTAGTCCAACCCCTTGCTCAAAGCATGATGAACCAGAGCAGGTTGCTCAGGACTGTGTCCTGTCAGGTTTTGAATGCCTCCGAGGATGGAGACTGTACAGCTTCTATGGGCAACCTGTTCCAGTGTATAAAAATTTTTTCTTATCTTTAAATGGAATTTGCTGTGTTTCAGTCTGTGTCCATTGCCTCTTTGCCTTTCATTGGATACCATTGAGAAGAGCCTCCCTCTGTCTTCTTCACTCCTCCCATCAGGTAGTTATATACATTGATAAAATCCCGCTGAACAGTCCCAGCTCTTTCAGCTTCCCCTTGTATGTCAGATGCTCCAATCCCTTAATCACCTTTGTAGTACCTCACTAGACTTGCTCCAGTGTGTCCATGTCTCTTATAGTGGTAGCACAGAACTGGACCCAGCACTCAAGACATCTCACCAGCTCTGAATAGGGAGGAAGGGTGACGTTCCTCAACCTACTGCTGAAGCTCTCCCTAGTGCAGCCCTGGAGGCTGTTGGTCTTCTTTGCTGCAAGGGCATATTGCTGGCTCATGTTCAAATTGTTGTCTATGAGGGCCCCACAGACTTTTTCTGGGAAGTTGCTTTCCAAACATTTGTCCACCAGCTTGTATTGGTACACGAGGTTATTCCTACCCAATGCAGAACTTCCCACTTCTCTGTTAAACATCATAAGATTCCTGTTTGCTCCTTTCTCTAGCCTGCCAAGGTCCCTATGAATGGCAGCAAAAAAAAAAATGTAGTTTATCACCCATTCATCTCTAATCTTCTATCATCTGTAAACTTGCTGAGTGGGATGCACTTTATCCCATCATCTGAGTCATTTGTGAAGCTATTAAACAGTGTTGGACCCAGTATTGAGCCCTGGGGTACACCTCTGATGAGTGGCTTCCAACTGAACTTTGTGCCCCTGATCACAACTCTGAGCCTGGATGAAATGCCAGTTTTCAGTCCACCTCACTGTCAACTTACCTAGTTTTTATTTCATCAGTTTGACAGTGAGGATGCTTATAGCAGACACTGTTGAAAGTCTTACTAAAGTTGAAATAACCATTATTCACTAATCTCCCTTCATCCACCAGGCTAGACATCTTACCACAGAAAGCTGGTTAAGTACAGTTTCCCTTTCATAAATCCATGCTGACTGCTTCCAGTCACCTTCTTTTCCTCCATGTGTTTGGAAATGGTTTGCAGGATTATTTGTTACATCACCTTACCAAGGATTGAGGTGAGGCTGACTAGCCTATATATATATTTCACCCTCAAATCCTCCTCCTTGCCCTTCTTTAAGTTAGGAGCAACATTTGCTTTCTACCAGTCCTCAGGGACTTCTACTGATTGCCATGACCTTTCAAAGATTATTAAATGTGAATTCGCAACATTGTCCATCTCCCTCAGCACTCGTGACTGGATCTCATCAGGACCCATGGACTAGTTTGTTGAGTTTATTTAAATGTTCCCTAACCTAATCCTTCTCCACTGAGGGTAAGTTGGCTTTTCTGCAGTCTTTTCCACTGGTCTCAGGTGCCTGGGATTCCTGAAGATCAGTCATACTAGTAAAGATTGAGGCAAAGGTGGCATGTAGTATCTCAGCCTTTTTCATGTCCTTTGTCATCAGGTCTCCTGCCACATTTAGCATAAGGCCCACATTTTCCCTAGATTTCCTTTTACTGCTGATGTATTTGTAGAAACCTTTCTTTTGCCCTTCACGTCCATCTCCAGATTCAACATCAGGAGAGTTTTGACTTTTCTAACCTCATTTCTGTGTGCTCAGAGAGTGTCTCTGCAGTCTTCCTGGGTGACCTGACCCTGCTTCCACCTCTTTTATGTTTCCTTTTTGTGTTTCAGTTTTTTCTGAGTCTCCATGCTTCCTGCACATGGGGATGAACCATTCTCGAGCTTGGATGAGGTGATCCTTGAAAATCAACCAGCTGTCCTAGACCCCTCTTCTCTCCAGCACTGTATCTAATGGGATTTTTTCCCAGCAGCCTCCTGAATAAGCCAAAGTCTGCTCTCCTGAAGCTGTGGGTAGTAATCCTGATTTTTACCTTTCTCCTTCCTCCTTTCATGATCCTGAACTCCACCATCCCATGGTTGCTTCAGCCAAAGCTGACACTGACCTTCACAGATCAGTTGTCACCTGAGAGGGGCCAGTCAATCTAACACAGGCTTTGTGTCTCCTTAGGTCCATCCTTTTAAATGATAAGAGTGTCTGTCAGTCTTTCCATAAGAAATAAGGTATTTTTCTGATTGTAGATAAGAGATAATTATTTTCAGGTTGAAATATGAATACTGATTATTTTAAACCAGATTAAAACCACACACTTTTACACACACACCTGGATGCACAGACACCCCCAAGATGTTTTTTGTAGTGTAGAACACCTTTACAACATGAGAAAATGCAATTGTTATGGAGACTGTAACAATAGGTGACACTGCACTTTTGACCCATCGTCAAGGATGAGACATAATGAAGTCCTGAACGCCTAGCAGGATGGTTGTGAAGCTGAATGTGTTGAAGTCCTGTCTCTCTCTCCTTGCAGATCAAATATTCTATCATGCACCCTGGGACCCATGTCTGGCCCCACACAGGGCCCACCAATTGTCGGCTAAGGATGCATTTGGGCTTGGTGATACCTAAGGAAGGCTGCAGAATTCGGTGTGCCCAAGAGAACAGGTACGGTTTGGGGTTTTGGGGTTTTTTTCCCCAACTTCTTCAAGGCTGAAAAGGGGGTGGGACTGCATGTACTTTAAAAAAAAAACAACAAACAAAACCAAAACTGCACACAAAAAAGAAAGGGTGTTTTGCTGATGAGGAGGTGTAATATATTTCATTAAACGGGCGTTTTACACCCTCACTTTTGGTACAAACATATAAATATCATTTGTCAAACAATGCCAGAAGAATCTTGGGAGACAAAGCTGTTCTCTGCTACAGCATGAAATAACAGTGAATTTAGTCCATGAAGTCTCTGTGTTTATTTTTATAATGCCAGTCTAATATACTTGCCAACAGAGTACCTCTGCTTGTTTTGATTTTTATTTTTTTGCTAAGAATTCTTTGTTTGTTCAGCAAAAGCTGAAACTAAGCTATATCTCCCTTTTCACCACTGTAACAGAATACTCCTGTGTTTATACAGAAGCTTCCTTCCTAGCTAGTATTATTTGTTATAATTCAGTTAAAATATTCCAATTGAAGTTAATTTCAAGATGAACACATGTATGAAGCATTTGGCCCAATGAGTTACACAGGTAGCAAATTTCTTTAAAGTGTATTTTAAGTAAGAATTCTTACCCCTTAGGGAAAAGCTGTGCTGAATTGAAGACCAGCTTTGTCTCTGCCTACTGCAAAAAAACCAAAATAAAATGCAATAGTTATACATTTACAATCAGGGCATATAATCCCCTGGGAAATATGAGCAAATGTGATAGGTATTTGCCTGATAGTATTAAACACAGACAGAAAAATATGCTATTAACTGTATTGCTTTTTGCTTACAGATTTAATTCTCTGAGATGTGAAATTCTAATGGTGCTTCATATCAATATGTATATTTTTGGAAGATTCTGTGTCATATCTGCAGCATCTGAGTGCAAAAGTGTTAATTTTGAATTCTTTTCATGGTAGCAATGTACAGGTATATTTGATATTGAGAAATGGAATGCCACTGTTGTCTGCATGACTGCAATATGTAGCAAAGATATTTTTTCAGAATATTTGAAAAACAACTACAACAAGAAATGTTTAAAATTTTTGAGGGTAGAAGTATCCAATAATTAATAACAAAAAATGTTGTCACTATAGACTCCTGCCAGCATTTAGTTTATTTAATAATCTATCACAGTCAGTGTTATAGTCTACACTAGCTACATCTAGGTAGGGATGGATCTTTGCTTCCAGCATTCCAATCCAATATCCAAAATAAGTTTAAGATAGACATTTGGATGGAAGGAGAGGTAGTTAACGGGCTTAGAGGACTAACATGGAGACCTGGAGTCTTTTCAGTATTGTGGGTTCAGTTTGATGGTGACTGAATGGTGTTACCATTAGGTGTCTCTTTAGTGGCCTGTGGGAATGAAGTGGTGGTTCTGATCTGCTGCCAGGAGAGCAGGCGTCCACAGCTCACCACCCTTTATTGTGGCTGGCACCCTTCTTTGCCTTAAACTGAACAGAAGGGATAGTGGTGTGGAAAATTGACTTAATGACCTCCTCCTGGTGAGTAACACTCCCTCAAGGTCAAGAGTGGAGAAATGCCTGTTGCTGGTTCGCTGCAGACTGAGCACTTCAGTGTCAAGGCTGCTGAACATGGCTCAGTCATTTGAAATGTAAAACTCATGTGAAATGTAAAATGTAAACTCATTTGAAATGCAAAACATTCAAGAGCTGACTACAGCCTGTGCTGAAAGTGTTAACTTTAGTTGCTTTTGGCAAGAGCTCTGTATTTAGCATCAAAGGCAGGATTTTCCCTGAAAGGCTGAAAATGTGTGTACTGGTGGCAATGAAAGGTTTTTTTTTCTTACATCCCTTCACCCATGAAAGGGAAGGTGGGTGAACTGCTGTGGACGGGACTGGTGCCAGGAGGAAATCCTACCTTGGGCATTTTCAGTTTCTCCCCTTCTAGTGATTCAGAGCAGTGGTAAACCAGCGGTGTAGGAGAACTGGCTCAAATATGAAGGTTAGCATGCCTGAGTCTGGCCTCCCGTCCCACTGCTGTGTGTATGAGAGAACAGAAACAATGTCAATTTTGTGCCCAGTTACTTCTGTGCCACCCAGTGTGGGTGTTAAGATGCAACTTATTCTTCGATGGACAGGCAACTCAGCTCTGTCTAGCACTATGTTTTACTCCTTCAATTACTGAAGAGTCTTTCTGCAGATGCTAGCATCTGGTACACCTCATTGGTATTCAGTACAGCTATAGTAATTTTATGGCATTGGGCCATTTTGAAGTCCCAGCTCTGTAAAGTGTAGGGCACAATGAACAAAAATGGTAGGTAAATAACATCTAGTTATCAAAATCTCTGTCAGACAGGGTAATCATGTTTTGAAATGAAGGTGCAGAATTACAGCCTTGTGCAGAAGCCAATCCAAGATCTCACCTCTAACAGGTGACGCTAAAGCCATGCAGAGGATACAGAAACTACCCCAAAGTGGCTCAGCACCAGACCAGAATAATATCTTCCCTAGGGTCCCACCGTGAAGTGTTTTTCACACCATAAAGGCTTCTAGAAAATATTTATTAGCATGCTAATGCTAGGGTTTGTAATCTATTCAAAAGGGGCTAATAGTTCTGTCAACTTTATGACTTTTTCTTTGTTGTGCAAAACAGCCCATCCCATTATGATGCAAATGGTCCGTCTTGGGTTTTAACCTCTGAAGCTACTTCTTCTGGTGCTTGTAGTTTTTATTGTCCTTAACAGAGCTGCACTTTCAGGCTGTTTAGGGTAGGATTTTTCAGACTTGGTTTAATTTAAAAAAAAAAAAAAAAAAAATCATCAAAAAACCCACCACCCTTCAAAAACCAAAACCAAACAACCCTCCCCAAAACAACAACAACAACAAAAAACCCCCCACACTCAAAAAAAGCCCAAACAACTTAATTTTTAGCATTGCAAGTGGGTGACTCGCATTGACTTGAATAATACCAATGTAACCTTACTGCAGTAGCAAAGACTCAGGGTCTGTATGGCATAAAACTTTTTTGTTACCAGATAACTGACATGGTAGCAGAAAAAACACATGATCATAGCTGAAACCTGCAAAAGGCTCATTATCTGAGCCTTCAAGGCTGATACCTGTGTGCAAGCCAGTGTGCTTGGACTGGTTTATCTGGTTTATTAACTCTTGCTTAAAATATGTTTAGATTATGTTAGATTTATGTTGAAATGATCCAATTTCAATTTCCATTTCTCTTCAGAATGTTACAGCTCAACACCATAAATTTTGATAGTTAATTTTTTCTTTTGTTGAATTAAAAAATAAAGATACTGAGATGACTTGGGAGTCTAAATCTCATTTTCACCCTGTTTTTGAAAAAATAATATTGTTTTCTGGGTGAATGAACACAGTTTAATGAGCTAAGCAATGTATTTCCATCTTTGATGGCAAGACCTTTGTTTCTTTACCATCGCTACTGTTCATAGTTCGTCGTTCCCTTTAAGGGCATCCATCTTCTTGCACTGCTTCAGCTCCGAAAGGATTCTGTTAAAAAACTGGGTTATGTGGTCATTGTAGAGTGGCTGTAGGAGTTAATACTTCTTTGACCATTATTGACTTGACAGACTGCTATTCAACCGGTCTCACCTGAAGGGGTATAATCAGGTGCATGTTTTTGTCCTGGTGCAACGCAAGATATATTTGCTTTGCTTGTACCACTGCCTGACTTGACAATAGACAAATCATGTAACACGTCATCTGCTACTGTGTCTAAATGCAGTGGGTAAGACTGAGATCTGAGAGGCAGTAACAAATGACTAGCACAGTGACTTTTTGAGATGTTGTAACATTATCAGTTCTGGTCACTGATCAGTTGCTGATTTTTCACATAAAACCTATGTTCAAAATTATGAATCTGGATCTCAGCAGGCTGAAGTTGCCAGCTGAAAGCTCTTGAAGCTCAACAAAGCAATTGCAAAGCCCTGCAACTGATAACAGATCAGCACCTTGCAACAGTGCAGACTGGGTGATGACTGGATAGAAAGCAGCTTTGAAGAAAAGGACTTAAGGGTCCCAGGGAGCAAGTTGAGCATGAGTCAGAAAGGACTACGAAGATGATCAGAGGACTGGGAAGCCTGCCATGTGAGGAAAGGCTGAGAGAATGGGGTTTGATCAGCTTTGAGAAAAGAAGGCTTAGGGGAGACCTCATCACCATGTTCTAGTACTTAAAGGGTGGCTACAAAGAAGATGGAGACTCGCCTTTTACAAGAAGTCACATGGAAAAGAGATGGGGTTATGTGTATGTGTTAATCCTGGGGAGATTCCGATTGGACACGAGGAAAATTTTTCACAATAGAGAACAATCAGCCATTGGAATAATTTCCCTGGGGAAGTGGTGGATTCCCCAATATTGGACACCTTTAAGATTCAGCTGGATAGGATGCTGGGCCATCTTGTCTAGACCATGCTTTTGACAAGAAAGGTTGGACCAGATGATCCTTTAAGTCCTTTCCAACCTCCTGTTCTGCGATCCCATGATTGATTGATAATGTGCTCTTGTCTTGATAAAGGCTAGCTGTGTACTGGACTGTGTTAGTAAGTGCATACGAAGCAGTTTGAGGGGAGCAATTTTTTTCTCACTGCACTCAACACCGTCACTGGAGTACCGTGTCCAATCTGGGGCTCTTCAGTACAAAGAAAGTCATTGATAAACTAGAGAGACTTCAGTGAAGGATTAAAAAGATTGTTAGGAGACTGGAGCATGCGACACATGAGGAGAAGCTCAGGAGTCTGGAAAAGAGACAGATAAAGAGGAGCCTAGTTACTCTCTTCAGCTACTAATGGGTGACTGTGCAGACACAGTGCTAAGCTCTAATTGGAGGTGTGCAGTTACGGAATGGAAGATAATGGACACAAGTGACAGTGTAGGAAATTCCATCTAGGTAGAATGAAATTTACGTAATGAAGTTGGTGAAATACTGGAAGAGATGATGGAATGTCCCTGGTTGTAGACACTCAAAAATCCACTATTCAAGAACTTGAGATACTTCATCTAACTTCAAAGTCTTTCTCTGAGCAGAGACTTGGACCAGATGCCCTTCCAAGTTTTCTTCCAACCTAAATTGTTCTGTGATTCTATCCTTCATAAAATTGAGAGAAACACTGATTCTTCTGGCAAGTAATACCTACTTTCTACATGGCTGCTTGCCATTGCTTTTAAATCTGGTAATTTTGTTAATTTTTCAAATGACAGTGGTGCTCTAAACCAAGCCACTCTGAATAAATTGTGTGCATCCCTTTTTGTGCCTAACAAAGGTACAGAACTTGGAAAAGTACCCCTGTTAAAACTTGGCTCTTTCATGCTGAAATGAACACTCACCCAGGGTGCTTCTCTCCGTTCAGTCATCTGCTCTGCCTAAGCAGTACTCGGGAAGCAGAGGGGCTTTAAGTTATATGGTCTCATCCTCTCAGTTCAACTGTACCAGTATAGTTAACTCAGTGTACACAATGGCATTGCACCCTTCCTCCAAAGAAAAATCTTTCAACTCTGTGCTTTGAATGGGTTTATGGGACAAGACTGTTAACATCCCTGAAATTTTAAGCATGATCAGGGCCTAATTCTGTTTTTCTGATTTTTAGAAAAAGCAGATTGATTTAATGTAATTTGTTTTCAAACCATATGACCATATTACTGGTCATTCCCCCAGTTTCCTTCACTCATTATGTATGTATCTGATTAGAAAAGGAGAAAAGTTGATTATTACACCAGTATTATACCTGCTCCCTGCTTATTGGACTCAACTCATTAGAAATATATAAATAACAAATACTATAAATGTCTGAATGTATAAGTGGGCATAACTATGCAGAGTGAGAGGAAACAATCCGTCAGTAATATGAACGTCCTTTAGACTGATTTTCTGTAGTTTATTTCAATTGAAACTCTGATACTTCAGGCTCTTTATATTAGGCAGTGAAATCCTGACTGTTCAATATATACTGTGTAAATCATTCTCATATGTCAAAAAGCATCTTCAGAGCTGATCTACAGATTGGCTTCTCCACAGCACTTCAAATAGTACACTAAACTATGTTCTTTTTTGTGTTGCAGAACCTGGGAAGAAGGAAAAGTTCTTATTTTTGATGACTCTTTTGAACATGAAGTATGGCAAGATGCTGAAAATTACCGTCTGATATTCATTGTGGATGTGTGGCATCCTGAGTTAACAGCACAACAGAGGCGCACTCTTCCTGCTATTTAGGGAGTTACTTCTGATGTGAAGAGCAGAGAAGCTTTAATGCCTTTGGAGTATGACAAGAAGATTTGTCCAGCATATGAAGACTACAAGTATTGTAAGGGTTAGAAGAGAAGGATGACTTTCTACAATCACAGAGGACTTGATTTTAAAAAAGGAAAACAAGAAGAAAAGAAAAAAAAAGCCATGTTTTGTTTCATACTGATATAGCACTGATATGTATTGTTTTTCTGGTTGCAAATTTAAAAATACAAATCTTGTCAGCCAGAGAGTGATAGGGCTGGATTTTCAAACTGAGGAATGTGCCGATGTTTTTGGCATGCCTATATTATGCATACAAAAACAGTCAGTCACTTGCCCAGCCATGTTCAGGCACAAGATTTGCGATTCTACATGTGGGAAATACTTCCCAGGCTTTTATCTGGGAGGCAACATGTAAGATATTGACAACCAACTTTGAAAATCAGTATGCAGTTGTAATGTTAGCTGCTTTAGGCATAGAACATGTCCCTATGATATCAACTGTAGATAATGTGAATGGATTATGTGTGTTTTGTATTTTTTTTTTCTACCTGAGTAACTGTATTTTTCTAGCATAATTATGAACAAATCTTTAATCAACCACTATTTTTGAAAAAACAGTATCTTTAGAAGTACACCTCTAGCTATCAGCAGAAGGAAAACGCTATATGTGAACAGATTTCATTTTTGCCAAGCATGCTCTTCTCTTGCTGTCCTGGAAATGGAAACAGAAACTTTCATAATCAGCTATTTAGTGAAGCTTTCTTCTTCTAAAACAGCGTAGTTCTCTTAGTGTTAGCAGGCAACCTTCAGTTTGATAATGTGATTTTGGAAGATGTTGAGCAAATGTGACATATGTAGGCTCAGATCTCAAAGTGCTTGACAATTCTTAGGATAATGTGGTGAACTGCTGTTTTTCCTGTCATTACAAAGGCTTGTGTTGTGATATCCATTTTCTATCCATTTTCTCCAAGTGTCCTAGAGAAACTGGGACACTTCCTTCCAAGGTGTCCTTCTAGGCTGCCCTTGGGTGGTCATTCAGCAGCAAAATATATGAAGAATTGTGCTTTGGGCAGCAGGACAAGGTCTGACTTGGTTTCCTGCCAGAATGCAGAGCAGACAAACAGTTTCAGGTTATTAACTTGTATAAACTTCTCCTGCCAGCATCCTACAGAGTGCTAGAATGATCTTTTAATTGACCTAATGGTGTTTTCCTTGTCTTGAAATGTATGACATAATGCTGCAGTAGTCTTGTCCCAGTACTGTTTACAGTATACTCTGTATTTGCCATACAGAATTTACTGTATGGTAAAAAGGCCTTATTTTCAAGAAAGAAAACTTGTTGGATGTTGAAGCAGTTGGCTGGTCTTTTAGGTCTGTACAGTCTGATGAGAGATGGAGGGTGCAGGACTTTCCAGTGTTAACTTCTAAGAACACTAACAGGAAAGAGAGACCTGAGGTTGCACTGATGATGTTTATGATGTTTATGGCTGGCTTTTATCTGGATAGATAGATGTGCTAGGGTGCCCCAGGCTTGTCAAGAGCAGTGGCATCACTAATGAGGGTTGTGAAAGACAAACACTAAGCAAGGAGACAGTGAGGTTACTTAGTCTCCACAGCTTTGGCTTTATTGTCCAAAAGACACTGAACAGTCATTTTATTTGTTTAATGCTCAGTGGTTTTGAACTGCAGAAACAACATCATGGTACCTAAGTATAATGATCAAAATGCCACATTTGCCAAAGCAAAATACAGATAAGAGCCTTGCATTCCCATAAAGAGAATGCTTTTCAGAATTTTTATTTTACTAGATAATTAAATCTTGTAATGCCATGTAACCACTGGGTGATTGCATCATAAATTAGTGTAACTGATTTCTGGAGGCGTGTGCTTTAATTTACTTTTTGACTATTAAGCTGATAAACCCTCTCTGATCAGGAGTCAGGTTTAGACAGCTATGCTAATTAGGCTGTAATGTGTTGTCTATATCAAAAGTAACACTAAGACTGTACACAATATACAAGAAAGTAACAATTCTCAGTTAATCATCATGAAAACTGAAAAGATTTATAAATCTCACACTTAAGAAAATATAAAAATACTTTTAGAGAGCTTTAGGAGAATCATGCGGAAAACTGGAAATAAGGTACTTGTTATTGGGGGGGTCATAATAAAAATTTTTTTAAATCTGCTAGTTGTTTAGTCAGAGGCTTAATTTGGTATCTCTGTAAAGTGATCAAACAGTGCAAATTATAATCTATTTTGTAATTCTGTAAAATAAAGATATAGTTTGTAAAGAAGAAATCAAGAACTGTTTAATCCAAAATTTGTGGTTTAGAATTATTTTTATTAATGTTGCAATTTATTTTCTATAGCTTGGAGTAAATACTAAAGGAGTGGTAATAACTTTGGAGCTTTATTTGTAAGAATCCATTACGTCCTTCAGATTTTCGTTTTTCCTTTGAGGGCTCATACCTTATCTTTGTAAACAGGTAAAATTGGCATATAGATAAAAGTAATCTACCCAAGATATGTGTGTGCCAGAGTAGCACTGTTTATTAAATGGTGTAGTGACACATTGGCCATTTAAAATCTTATGTGCCTTGAATATGACAAGGTGCATTATGAATAGCTTCTGCAACACTGAAGTGAATCTACTCTGTGCCTACCTGTCAAGAATCTGAGAGCACATCTTTTTGTTAGGTACAGTTACTGAATTAGATCTGTACATGGTAGGGATACATATATAGAGCAAACTATAGAAATTATGCAGTGAATAAGTGGTATATTATTTTGGGTATTCCTGTTTGCCAACCAGTATTTCATCTTGAAAATATTTTTAGACGTTGAAAATGCCAATGGAAGAAGTGACTGGGAATGTTTTTTTAAATGGAGAACCATTGCAATTTAAGTTGGTTTTATTTTTTTTTCTTTAGATTTATTTACAGAGGGAAATGACAGAGAAGGGCAATATAGTCTCCTGTTTGTAAAGCAGTACGTATTCATCATGATGTTAGGAAGTCAGTTCCTTTCTGCCTGTAGTTACCTTGCTTGCAAACACAGTTTGTATAAGATCCTACAGTTAAATACAAGCATCATACAGTTATGTACAAGGCATCGCACGTATTTATTGATGTCACAGCTAAGGAAAAGAAATAATTCTAATCTTCTCTGAGGTTTAATCCTTGAGGACTAGATTTCACTGATATTTGCACTTCTTGAGCAGAACAAGTCTCCCTTGAATGAACAGTGACTGCAATAGGTCATCACAAAGAATCACTGGCAGTGGAGGTAAGTGTATTAACAGAGAAAAATTGTAAACCAAAGTATTTCTTCATTAATGCTACAGTATAATAGCCAATGTCTGTCTTTTTAGTCTGTTTGCTTTTTTACTTTCTGCCTTAAGCAAGCTCTCTGTGACAAAACCGAATGCCTGAGTCTTCATGAACCCAGGGAAGGGAGCTGTGTGCTGTTATCAGGAGTTAATTGTTTTCTGTAATAGATGGTAATGCCAGGGGAGGGGGAATGGAAGAAAGCCCAAAGATAAATCACAGAATCACAGAATGGTAGGGGTTGGAAGGGACCTCAGGAGATCATCTAGTCCAACCCCCCCTACCAAAGCAGGTTCATTTTTATCAGCTGTATTAGGCCACTGTTACAGCCATGAGACCTTTCTTAAGGTACTACAACCAA